GTTCGTTATCAACCATGCGACTTTATTCATTTCCGATAAGTATACTATACCAAACGAATGACACTGGCGATAAGAAAGATAACAAATGTTCCCCGAATGATGAGTCAATCTTACTCGTCTCGTACTTACCAAGAATATGACACCTTTGAGAATTACATTGGAGTTGAGCTCAAAATTGAGCAGATCGTTGCTCAGCTTTGCGAACTTTTCCGGTGTGAGCTTGTTAAGAATACCCCGCACCTTTCTAAAGATGAGATCATTTCTGCTTTCTGGGGTGAGTGCATCGCGTCTAACAGTTGAAGGAGGGATCCAGCGTTGCTCAGTGGATAGGGAGCGAATATCGTCCCTGGAAGGCATCGAATTTTTTTAATCTCAGTGTTACAAGTTAAAATGCAACACGCAGGATTGGGTGTAATAAGCGGCTCGCGTATGATCGCTTTACTGTCAAGGCGTAACTTTTGTAGACCCTGACCTTCCTCCCGAGACACGAGAAGCACCCCCCGGTCCTGTGGGGTTGTCCGTTGTTGCGCGTAGGTTGGCCCCCTTAGTGATAAATCACAGCATACAGAACTTCCTTTAGAAAGCTAAAACAAACGAGAAAACATAATATATTCCTTAATGTCTGATATTATATCTATAATCGATATAACGCTAAATTTCCCCTTTTGAGAACTGAGTGTTTGAACCCCATCAAGTGATCCATTAAAAATCAAAATGGCGGCACAACGAAGTCGATAAAGTAAACCACTTTTTTTACCCTTATGCTTTCTCGAATATAAGAATTCCATTCACGATTGCGTTGTATCGGTGATTTTTATAATAATATTGATTATACGTTCGTTCTGACGTCATAACAATCTCTTTTTTTTTATTATTCATTTATCTTTTTATCTCATCATAAAAAATAATCGACCAATATAGATTGATAAGAGAGACTGAGAACCACTGTCCCCTACGTAGATGGCGTTAGCTTTGTCATTTCTTTATATATTCAATATTAAAGGAAAAAAAAAAAAAAATAAAAAAAAAAAATATATATATATATATATAAATAAATAAATAAATATATATATATATATCCTTTTCGAAATATAACTTTGCAAACTTTCCTGTAACTTTAAAGAAAGAAAAGATAAAGTATGAGTAAGCAAGTTTCGGTTTACAAAAGGAACGATCGAATGACTTTGGGTATTTGATACATACGAACGCGACGAAGACGAAGTATAGAAGAGGATACTCTCTGGGGAGAAGCCTCTAATATAAAGGAGAAGCACACACGTGATGGTTGGTCACGAAATTAGAAAGAGAGAGTGACTAGAGACCTTCCAAGAAACTTGAAGAAAACAACGGCTTCGATCTCCAAGGAAGAAACGTCGTGTATTCTCTTCTATCGAGTAAAAAGGAAGGAAAGAGAAGCGTATATAGGAGAAGAGAAGAGATATATATGTGGGGCGCGGCTCATGGTCAGACGGTCAATGACCCCTTCCATCCTTCCTTTCTTCCTTCGTCCCACCTCGGTCGGTCTCGGCTCACCCCTTCGGCCGATTTCGCCGAGGCCATCCCGGCCTTCGTTCGTTCGGCGAAGGTCGGCTCCCTCCGGCTTTGATCGCCATACCACCGAGATTATCCCGGGTTTGTGGATGACGGTACGAAACGACGCTTGTCCATCGAATCTTCTCTAGCACATTTTCTCGTGATAAGAGTAAATCCTTTAGTGCGGTTGCCTCTTGCCTTTCGAAACTGAACTACATATCTCTTTGATAGCTTTCAAATGCGCAGGTGCACTCAGCATCCCTCTCTTTCCTTTTAATTTCTTTTTCTTTTCTTTTCTTTTTTTGTTTGTTTGTTACAAACCATGTATATACGCAAACCACCTATTGGGTGGTTCAAATAAAGTGTCACAAATTGTTGCCTTAGAAATCATTGCATATAGCGGTTCATCTATATGCGAACGAGAAATTGTTACATTTTATTTGAACTACCCTGTATATACGATTCGTCGCGTTCTAACTCTAGTAATACATATATATATATATACGCACGCGCGCACTACTACAAAGTGCAAGCGAACCAGAGTACAACGCCCCGCACGCGTATACTCGCGGTTGAATCTTCACTTCACGAGAAAGAAAGAAAAATATCTCCTGAACTTCGAGCACTTTCTTTCATGGAATTCTTTAACTACACACAAAGAATGTTTTTTTGATACACAAAACATTCGTTTGGCCACACGTCCAAATGATTCGATCTATCGTGTGGCAAGATTGATGAAAATAAAACTGCAAGGGAAACACATTTCCAATCTCAATTTCTCAACTGCATGCATAACAACAATACATTATTATATTTGTGAGACATAAAAAGCTTATTTAAATTTTGGTGCTCTAATTGATCGTCATCGACAACTTGGTCGAAATTTCGCGTGACGCTGTTAGAAAACGAGAACAAAAAGCAAAGATAAAAAAGAGAATAAAGAAGCTGACGAAGGGACATCAAAACTCGGTGGAAATAAGAGAACTTGGAAAAACGATATAACGAAATGTGTGCAAAGTAATCATTCAAGCGACGACGACGGATGCAGATGTAAAAATTAATGTTGCACTTCCGTTGGCCGAGTAACGTGATAAAACCAACTACATTCGTGCAAGTTTTCATGAAGAAAAAAGAAAAAAAAACGTATCCAATGTATTTAAATACATCTAATGAACGCATCATACATATACATAATTGTTATAAGTAATACAAAATATTATTCAAACATTTCTCATGTGATTTCATGTTTTTTAGATATGCAATATTATTATCTATTGACATGCACAAACGTTAAATCAATGATCGAAATAAAAGTGATATGAGCGCGTCGACATATGAATATTTTTTTATCAGTTGTGCGTGCCTTGACCTTCGTACGAAATTTACTTCGTATTCGAAACTCATTCAATTCACTTCGTAAATCATTACGTTATATTATTATCCGAAGAAATGATTCGTGTGGAAGATTAAGAGGTTAGGTTAGTTTTATCGACAATATGCACGTGATGATAAACACACCTCTATGACGTACATCATTTTGCAAGCGGTTACCAAATAAAGATATAAACATGTCGTGAGAGGCATAATTATAAAATTCTCTTTGTCTCTAAGTACTTTAAATTCGTCGAAATCCACAAATGGAATTCGTTGGAGAATTTATAGCTTGCACTTATTTTTTGTATTGCAAAATACTTTCACGTAGTAGTATTTATCATTTTCAATTGACGCATTTGTAAAGACGAAACAAAATAAAATCGTAAACTAGATCATCCTATCCTAGTATACTTAAAGAATATGCATCGAATTGCGCTTGCATCTATTACATTTACTTTCAGTTATACATAGTGATGCAATAATTACTATTATAGCAAGTCGTGCTTCTGTTCTCGTTTATGTTTTCTACGAATTATTTAATTCTAAAATAGATAGCACATTCGATATCTGAAGATACGATTAAACGAATTATTCAAAGTTCCAAATAAGTCGTGTGTAATGTTCTGATTATTCCCGATGAAGTAATGAAACTTTCCTAATGAAAAATCAACTATTCTAATGAGAAAGATAATTGTGAAAACAATATTAATGACGGATAAAATTATCATAACGGGTATTAGAAAAAAGATGGCGGATTCGTTCGAAGAGCGCGAAATTTAAATCGGAATAACGTTCGAGGTAGAAAAAGATCGCAGCCTCGAAGCGAAGTAGTCCTTGAGAGATCATGGTACATAAAAAGAAAAGTGGGGATAGAGAGAGGGGCGGTGGGAGGGGGGAGAGAGAGAAAGAGAGAGAAGCTTGTGTCGGCGGTACAGGAGACAAAGAGATAGCAATGGAGTGACGTAAAGGTAGAAGAAGGAAGAAAAGAGAGAAGGAAGGCTCTTCCCTCCATGGATATTTCTCCCGAGACTACATCTCTTTTACTCTTTTTTTTGTACACCATAGTTGTGGTCGTTGTGTGAAGAAGCGTTCTTCTCCTCTCTCAATAGTGTACATGTATATACAGGTTTGCGAACCAGAGTTGCCAACCTTTGTAAAAGAAATATCGCTGGATGAACCACAATACCTAAAGAAGTTTTCTATCAGGAAATAGAAAAAGAAAAATAAAAAATAGATTCTCGATTAAAAGAGCTAACGTATGTAGTATGAATAATCATCTCAACGATATGTTTTACTAATAATTTCACGAAAGAATATTATGAAGAATTTTCGAAGAAAAGAAAAATGCAATTTCTCCTCGTTCCCAGAGGATTCTTTTTTTAACAACACGAAATTCTATTTTTACACGTCGAAGTCTGGCTCCTTTGGTCGAGACTCGTTAAAGACAGAGCACTTTTAGGAGTTGTTCCGGAAAAGGGGGAGAAGGAGGTACGCATAGGTCGGTCGTGGAGCGGTTAAAGCGCCAGGGCAACGCCTCTTCAGTGCACGGTCGAGGGAAAGTTGTAGGGAAGGCTGCTTGTCTCGGGGGTGGACGGAAATGCCAAAGCAGAGGGGTGGCCCCTACTATTCTCGCTCGATGCCTAAAGCTACCATTATGTCTGACGACGCTTACAACATTTTTCGAAATTCCTACCGACTGATAGAAGAAAACTATGAAGAGAAAACTTGCAAAAGAATTAAGCAACAAAACAGGTCAGATTCTTCATGGCATGAAAATTAGAGAAACAAGACTTGCGCCCGCGCACTCTGACATCCCACAATACACATACATACTCCTCCCAATCCCATTGAATCAATTCTTGTAAAAATAATTTTCCTTTTTGCGGATACAATCGATCTTTGCTAACATTTGAAATTATTTTTAGGACACAACTTAGCGAAAAAAACGTGCGACTTACGTAAATGTGTGTGACGTACGTCGAGAAAAAAGGAGAGAGAGAGAGAGAGAGGAGAGAGAGGAGAGAGAGAGAGAGAGAGAGGAGAGAGAGAGGAGAGAGAGAGAGAGAGAGAGAGAGAGAGAGAGAGAGAGAGAGAGAGAGAGAGAGAGAGAGAGAGAGAGAGAGAGAGAGAGAGAGAGAGAGTTCACCTCGTGTTTCTCAAACACGTTGCCCTCGTGTTTCTGCAAGATACATTCAGCTTCGTCCATGACATTAGGAAACGTTCCAATCGATAACCTCCTCTCATTGCTATCGATCCTCTCACTCTCTACCTTTCGCGCAACCTCCTTGCATCGTTCATGGTCAAAAACGAGATTACTTTTTTTTTTTGTATGTTCAATGACAATATAAAACTTTCATTAAGCTGACGTAGTAACTCAGTAGAAATTTTCTTAGCTAAATAATTAAACGTAGATAAAATAGGCGACGAGAACTTTTAAATGTATGTCTTACAAGACAATCACTTTTGTAATTTACTAATACAATATGATCCTAGATAACTGATACGATAGAATACATTGTCTTTGAATTATTTTTGTTGTTAGAGACATTATAAACAAGAAACAGTACGAAATGTTGAACTAGGACAAGCTTATGACCCTGGTAGCTCGTCGTAGTCGTGTTATATACCGTCCATAGGCGTAAACTATAGTCTCTCTAGCAAACTGAAAGGAAATCAGTGCGTCTATTCATAGTCGGATGAGCGTTTGTTAAGTCCACCGTGACAAAGAGGCCACGTATGTATGTTGTATATATATATGTATGTATGTATCTATGTACACGTCAAACGTCATGCTTTTTTCGTTCCTTCGATGATAAGAAAAACCGTCATATGGCTTTCCAAGAACGTATATAACTAAATCGATTGAATCTTCTTGACTATATCTTTTTTTATTTCTATCTATACCTTAGCCTATAGATAACCAAGTTTGTCGTGTCAAAGGACTCTCCTCGTTTTATCACCGTTGATCTACGACCTAATTTTATTATAATTTCTATTATAGTCTTTAATTGATCTTAATGGTATTTCTTTCTTCTTCTTCTTCTTCCTTTTGTTTATTTTCTTTCAGAGTGCACGATACCATCAAACTTTTTGTGAATTGCTCCTAGATGGTGCTTCGAGTCGAGGATTCGATTTGTGTCACAAAATGGCCGCTTCATTAAACCCGGCCTCTCAGGCAAGATCGTTCATTTGATCTTTCAAGATTACGATGGTTTTCTTTAAAGTATTTCAATTATATCGAATCAATCGACAATAGCATAATTGCAAATAACGATAAATAATGAACGTTTACATTTGCCGTTAACCTGAATAATATTACAACTGTTGATTCAATTTCACCACTTATTGTTAGAGTTAATAATAGTAAGTAAGAATGATAAATTTAAGGAATAGTGTAAAATATTATTTTTCCTAATGGATTTTAGTTTAAATGTGTCAGCTGTATACTCCTTGTTATCGCTGAATATCAAACAAAACAGCGTCAACTCAAGAGACCACTGAAAGTAACTCGATAGACAGCGGTATGAATCATATACCGCGTCTGGCTTGCATTACCAGATAACGCGCGATAACAAATTAGTACAAAGAACCTCTCATTTTTTTTCTTTTATCGAGAAAACACTTCGATCAAATAATCCTTTATCTTTGTTTATAACAAAAGAGAGAAAGAAAGAGAGAAAGAAAGAGAGAGAGAGAGAGAGAGAAAAAAAATTCGCACATCGACCGATTATATGTAAAAGTATACTAGAGATAAACTAACAATCGTTATATCGCTTATGTTAGCAAGTTCGAACTGGAGTGATTCTCAACTTTTATTTCTTTGAGATTGTTCATAATATCTGAAACATGATGATACGATACGAACATGGAAGATACGAGATTCGATTATTATTAGTCTAATGTTAAAAAAAGACTATTGTATTTTATCGTGAGGTAAAAGTTTAATAAAGGGCGAGAAATCACGAGTAGAAAGAATAACGACAAACTATAACGACAGGGAGGAAAGCAATCGTTCGGATCTAACGATCCCATGGACCGTTCATCCGGTGGAAGGGTCGAGAATTACTCGAGACTAAAGTTTAGAATCATGGATGTTTGATGATCGATGGACGAAAAGAGAGAAAGATAAATAAAAAAAAAGTGATAGAGTTAGAGAAGATAAGGAAAAAGTGAAAAATAAAATTACGCGTAGTCGAGGAAATTTCTCGATATCCAAAATTAGATCTACGAGAACAAGTACAGGGCCGCCGTTGTTGAATATAGCCTTACGGATGTGGCTTCAAAAATAGCTACACTACCTCCGCCAATCAAATAATTACCTATGCCGAACCGGGCTTGTTTCTAATATTCGATGTACATCGGCCAATTCTCGGAAAACCAATGAAATAAAAAAGGAAAGGATTTTTGCGAACACTCGAATTATTAATAAATTTGAAATATTCTAAGCTTCGAAATTCGAACATTTTTCTAAACTATACAGATGCATTTGTCGTATCGATACTATCTATCTGAATAATGTTTATGTATACGTTTTAATAGTTCTTTTTTCTTCTCTTCCATTCAATCATATTTTTGTGCAAACTCGGTTGAGATAATAGTGTCATGACGTATGTACGGCGAAGGTAAGTAAAATCAGTCGATAAAATCGATACTCTTTGTTGCAAAAGGTAGATTGTGAAACCAGGCTTCTCTCTCTTTCTCTCTCTATCTCTCTATCTCTCTTTTGTCATGACCCGATTCTGGAACGTGCGAGAAACAAAAGTGAGGTCTCGAATTTTTAGAAAATTACATGCAATCATTCGTTTTTGGCGAACAAGTTGGTCTTCAATTTTCATCTATGTAAGGAAAAAAAAAATAAAAAAAAAAAATAAAAAAAGAAAAAAATAAAATAAACGAGATTTTCAAAAACGATGATGGAAGTAGTTAATTCGCGAGTAATTGTCGTACAAGCAATGACGAATAATTTCAGTGAAGTAACGGTAATCTTGGAGGTTGGCCTTTAAAGTACCGTAACGATTGTACATTTCCTCGTCCTAAGAGGCACGTCGTCCATTGCCAACCTTACACGTATAATATTTACACATACTTAGAAAATAAGTTTTAGAATGTGGGAAATTGTAAACAGGGTTGAATAAAAATTTGGAACGAGAAAAGGTCAGCAAAGCTAAAAGAGAAAGTTTTGTGAACTCTGTGTGTGTGTGTGTGTGTGTACACTTTGAAACAAAGGAATGCAGCTATAATCTTTCAAAGATTTTCATCCTAAGTATACAACATATATATATATATATATATATATAAACTGAGGCCATGTAAAGACTTACTTAAGAATCACGAGGCTTATTAAAATGCAACAAGGATTCTCTTTTTTTCATATTGCAAGTCACGAAAGAAATATATCCATCTTTTTTTTTCTTATTGTTAAAAAATATAAATCGTTCTTCAACAAACAAAGATGAATGGAACAATGCTTCGTTTTAAGGTCCTACCAATAATAGTAATAAAACTCATCGTGAGGAAAATATCTCAATGGACGGAAAGAATTCACCAACCTTACCGACGAAAAAATATTTACGTCTGTCGAACGATCTCGACAAAACTAATGTTTCTGATATAATTCTGATATTAAAAACAGTTTTCAAGAAAGTCCAATAAGATCGAACGATGAAACTTCTCCTTAACTATTCACGAGGAACATATATTTTCGAATAAAATTCACTATACGCGATATGAACGATGTCGATATATAATATATATGTACGTATGTATGTGTATATATATATATATATAAATGAAAATATAATAGGTAATTAAATAAGAAAAATAATTGGAAAAAACAATGAGAGGCACGCACCTACGTGAACCGGTAGCGAAGGACGAAGGAGAACTCATGAGTTGGAGCCGACGCGTTCCGAAGAGGAGCTTCGTCGGAACCATTCGGGTTTCTCGTTCCCTCCACCATTACCACTACTCCGCCAGTCTACCGTCATCCACATCTCTTTCTCTCTCTCTCTCTCTCTCTCTTTCTAAATGCGTGCACACGCGTGCACAGGCACGGCTAATGATCGATGAACGGTACGAAGTGAGACGAGTGTATTGCACGGCTGTTTACGGTTTTGCACGAAGCAGTACGCCAAGGCCGATTCGTTTTGCTTTGGTGAAAGAGAGAGAGACAGAGAGAAAATCATTTACGTTTCATTCTCTTGGAACAAAAAAATAAGTATGTCGAGATGTTTATTTGGGTAAACGTTGAGAGAAATGCAATCGAATGGTTCTGTCACTCGAAATAATTTGCTTTCTTTTTATTTTTCATTTTTTTTCTTCTTCGTGCTAGCTGAATTATCACTTGAGAGATCGAAATACAAAGAAAAGAGAACAGATTCGTGAGAATAAGAAAGAGATGGGGAGAGAGAGAGAGAGAGAGAGAGAGAGAGAGAGGAGAAGAAAGAGAGAAAGAGAAGGGTTTGATACTATACATAAAGGAAAAGTAAACGCGTTTGACGTAGCCGAATGTCGTCGTCTCAACGACGATGACGACGACAACGCTTCGTCTCTCTTCGTTTCATCTCGCCTTGCCCCGCCTAACACGACGTCGATGGTATCTTCTCTCTCTCTCTCTCTCTCTCTCTCTCTCTCTCTCTCTCTCTCTCTCTCTCTCTCTCTCTCTCTCTTTCTCTTTCTCTCTCTCTCTCTCTATCCCTTTCTCCTAAACGAGAAAAAGAGAATTGGCATTTGCAAGCAAGCAAGCGAGATCACGATGACGATGACGACAACGACAATGACGACGACGATAATGATAATGATGATGCGAGGGCGTCTCTAAGAATTTTTAGATAAAACTTGCCTCGAAATTCGTAGAATAAACGTTTACAGAAGTGATTCTTTCATTCCGATTAATTCTTTAACTTCTTTAATAAAGTTTTTCTTTTTTTTCTTTTTTATAACGTAGACAATGATATTCAATCGACACTTATTTAATCCTTTTTTTATTTCCCCGATGCAACAGAATAGATTGCTCGTTCTAAAGAAAGAGAGCAGAGGGAAAGGGGGAGAGAGAGAGAGAGAGAGAGAGAGAGAGGAGAGATTCGTAGAAATAAAAGTAAAACGTCAAGAGATGCGTGAGTATATATGAGATAACTATAGTTTGGCGTCCTTTCTTCATCTTTCTCAAATCTATTTATCTTTCTTTCACTCTTACATATATACATACACCACACACACTCATCTCTCTTTCCATTTGCCCTCTCACACACACACACTCTCTCTCTCTCTCTCTCACGAGTCCAACGCACTTTACAAATCGAGAAAACAAAAGATAGTGCACTGACGAGCAATCGAAACGATTCATTCGAGTTCATAAACGAAAGGCAGTCGTTCTCGCGTATTAATCTCGTCTTAGTCGTCGTCTTCGTAAAAGTAGAAGTGTATCTTAGCGTCGATTGAGAAATAGAAAAGAAAAAAAGGAGGAAAAAATGTTGAAAGAAACGAGTACGAGAGAGTGAGTGAGCGAGCGAGCGAGCGAGCGAGCGAGAGAGAGAGAGAAAAGGGAAGGGTTCGATAATCGAAGCACAAGTATTAAACGTACTCAACTAGATTATTTACTGAGAAATGTTTTCTAATATATTAAAAGCGCCATCGTTAAAGTCTCTCTCTCTCTCTCTCTCTCTTAACCTATCTATCTCTTTCTTTTTTTTTCTCTCTCTCTCTTTCTCACGCTATAAACGAGGCATCGACGAGCCTCGAGAAAGTTCCTTCGTACCTTTACAACGGCCTTCTCGCACGTTTATTCCCCCGATGGAATTCACTTAACACGTTTGAAATGAGGTACGCGTCACCGACGCCTTTCGACGTCTCTAGACAACCGTTTCGAATCGCTCGTTCTTACGACTAAAGCAAAAGGGATATATCGTTAGAGCGTTTACTTACGGGCGACGACGGTTGTTGTTTCTGAAGACTTTCGCAATCTATCGGTTGGACTCGGGAACTTCCGTACGGTACGTCTCGTCAATTCAATGTTTACGAGCAGATTAACCTTAGTCACCGTCAATCTTTATCAATTCGATCTATCGATATAATTAATGGAAAATGATTTTCTTATTTTCCTTTTATATATTACAAACGATATTTCATCAATTTTCTTTATTTCGAAGAAACGTTTTAATACTAATCTTGACTTCGTTGGTGATGATTTACGCTCGACGGTACTTTAGCCACATCCAGACGAATAAACGTTTAACTCTCTCATCTTTTTCTTCATTCACAATTTATTTCCAATTGCTTTCCATTCATTTTATATCCTACAATGTCTAGATTATTTTATAAGAATTAGTATTTCGATTGGATGAATAATTAATGATTGGTATGTTCTTTTAAGGAATTCTTGACTTTGGTAGTACTTCGGCGGTTCTCTAGTTTCATTAATATCTCGAGATTCGTTTGAAATTAAAATGAAAAGATAGAACGAAGGAAAATTAATATAATATATTGTCGTCAGAATTTTAAAACATTTTCGTGCTTTTAAATATATATTATTTCGTTTATTTTCTTGTATATTCTATACGATTGAAGACTCGAAAAAATTGTCGAGACGGTAAAACAGCTCCTTGAATATATTCACGTCTCTCGGATACAAAGGGGCTATTGTCACATGGGCGGTGCATTAGATCGTTTAGGCAACTGTCATTTTCCAAGTTCGGTACGCGGAGATAACTCTCTCGGTTTTTTTTTAAATGTAAAACAACAGGACAATTTCTATATCTAGATATTAAGAATATCTGTGATAAATCTACTCAGGTATGTTCGATATTATTCGTCTCTCATCCTCGACAATTATTTATAAGTTCTAATAAATACTAATTTAATCTGTCTAACGCGAGTATTAGTTTGTCGTGTACTATTGTTTCTATGTGTAGTTAAAAATTATTTATTATGGCGATATTTTACAAAAAAAATAATCTTTCTACTACAGCAAGTTTCGTTTAAAAAATCAATGCAGACATTGTAAAATCATTTTTTTAATTTTGCAAAGCTGGACGAACAATCGATATATTTCTTCAATATATTTAAATATTGTTTATATATATATATATACATACACATATTATATACATATATTAATTTATAGTTATTCATTTTTAAGAGATTCTATTTGATCTATTAATTCATATAATGTAATAATTTGACCTTCCAATTCTTTTACATTTCTTTGTAATGATTAATTTTATTAACGATATATATATATATATGTATATATATATATATATATATATATATATATATATATCGTTAATGAATATATATATATATATCAAACCGTTTATCTATCTGTTTATCTATGTGACAATAAAATAATAAAATTTATGTATATATTTTCTTTTTTCTAATGACCTTGAATGTTAATGCTATAGCTATAATATATTGTATTCATTAATGGACTATTATGACAACAAATAATTAACCTTTGTCCTTAAATGGATAGATAGTCTGTGGAATAGTTTGTATTACTCATAATGTTAAAATTTTTAATAGGAAAAGTTCTATGTATATATAATTATATATCTACATACATAAGTGTCCAACTAATACATTAATTGTCGTATTGAGAAATTTTGTTATAATAAGTTTCTTTTATTACAGAATGGCTCACAGTTCTCAAACTTATGGGTCCACAGACCAGCGGACAGATGTACCTGATGTAGGATTTAGTCCTACTGAACTTTATAATCTCAGTGAAAATATAACCACTAATATATATACTATTAATACAAACTGGAGAACGCTTGAACGTGCATATAAGAACATTGGGACAAATAAAGATAGTGCAGGACTCAGGGATAAAGTGTATGTAATAAATTTGTAATTTTACTATATCTTCCTGATATATACATATATATCATAATTCATAATTATTTATTTATCATTGCTTCTTAGACACGAAACACAAGACAGCACAAATCAAGTTGTAACTCAAACAAGCAAAGATATTGCAAGACTTACTGTATTGATGAGGCGAGGAGATAAACAACAGAAATTGCAAATTGAAAAGTTAACAACCGATTTCAAAGATGCATTACAACGGTATTCTACTATGCAAAGGGTATAAAGTGTTTTATTATGTTTAAAATAGTACTATCAAATTCTGTAATATATAAATTGATTCTTATTTAACATAATATACTTTTTGCAGTCAATTGCTGAAAAAGTGAAGAGACATATTTTGACTACAAGTAATTTAGAAAATGCTTCTGAAGGAGATGATGAAGGAGAAAGACAAAGTTTGCTTCAAATTCAAGATGACGAGCGCAGAGCAACACAAAGGTTTGAATGTGATATATTTTTTTTTTTTTAATTTTAAAGGTCATTATGACCTTGAAAGGCTCTAGTTACTTGTACTTTTAATTAGTGAAGGTAAAACCAGTTCTATTACATTCTATGTTTTGTATAATGATAATAGTTTTTCAATCTCTTCTAAAAACTATTGTTATGTAGTTGCACAAATATTATGTCTCTGTAGGACTTTTTAAACAAATTTTCATGAAGTAGTCATAGTTTGTGGATTTTATAGCAGAAATATGAAAATAGATTAAATTTAAAATTTCAGTGAAAGATTAAGTAATTCCATCATGTATTATTTGTATAAAGAGCAAGCTATAAAATGCACTTGAGTGTATGGTAAGTCATTTTTAAGGTATTTTGAGATTATAAAATACTTTTTTCCATTTATTAAAGATAAGGATGTGTAAAGTCGATTTTTTTGTGTCTTGCTTAGAACACTTGAGTTTCAACAAGGTTTACTGCTCGAGAGAGAAGACAGGATAAAGAACATTGAGGAAAAAATATTGGATGTAAATCAAATTATGCGGGAACTAGCAGCATTGACATATCAACAAGGAGAGACTATCAGTATGTATTTTTTTTTTTTTTTTTCCTCGTTCTTTTTGAATCAATTTTAAGTCGACTTAATAATCAATTTATCTTGTTTAGAAAAAAGAAAAAGAAAAAAATACATGTTCTATATTAGTTGATTTCGTTTATGATTTATGTCAAATGTAAATATTAATTCAGTAATTCATTAAATTGTTCGCATTATTTTCCAGACACTGTTGATAACCATATAGAGAATGTATATGGTAATGTTGAATTGGGAGCACAAGAATTAGTTAAGGGAAGTAATTACCAAAGCAAGTTTCGTCGAAAAGTTTATCTTTTGTTGTTACTTGCAATAATAGTCGTCATTGTATTAATTATTATTCTAGTCACTAAATTAAGTTAGCGCTTCTAACTAATATAGGTGACAAGAGTGTATCAAAAAGGGCTGTCTCAATCTATTATATACAATTTTTAGAAATGCTGCTATATTAAAGTTGCTATTATAATTTTGGTATTTTATATACTTGAATTTGAACTGGAAAGAGAATAGAGACTTGTTTTGTATATGCTCGTAAAGGTATTAATGTATATTTTGAATATATGAGAGAAACTTTGTTTATTCTTGAATTCATAAAATATTTGTTAATACTACACATAAAAGCACATAAATTCTATTATACCGTTGTGCTCTCAATGTATCTTTATTTTCAATTATATTAAGAGTAATATAGTTCATTATTAAAATTAAAATTGCTACCCCAACAGTATAAATAGTTAGAGAGCACTTATACGAACAATTTTATCCAGAAGCTTCTAAAAATTGACAGAATAACTTCGAAAAACATATTGTATTTTAAAGCCTATATAATAATCGTGTATGTCATTTTTATAGTACACATTCGTTCGTGCTTTGCCTGGTCTTTATTTTATTATCTTTATATTTTTTACTAATCTTGAATATAAAGATAAGCGTTGTGTGGCATTTCTGCTGCTGAAAGTATTCAATATGCATAAAGTTTATAAAAAAATGTTAGCATTGTTTTGTGACTTCAGATTTTATAACAATTTGTATCCTTTGTTAAGGCAATGGATTAAAATTTGCTGATATTGCTCTGAACTAATATATTTTATTATTTTCCTAATTAAATAACTATTACTTTATTCTTTAAAGAATTTTATACGGCTTTTTTCTTTTCTACTCAATATACCGTATAAAAAATGACAAAGAGAGCAAATATATTAAACAAATCTTGTTCTAATCTATTAAATCATTTTACCATATATTTTTGCAAATCTGCTGAAGCCTAGAGATATTTTTAGTAGAAGTTTTTATAATCGTCACTTTAGCTATTGCAAAGTTGTATATAATGCAATTTTAAGAAAGAAATACATTGAGTATTCATTGGACAGATATTAAGATGTATTAGTAGTCTCGTTAATAGATTCTCATGAAAAGTATATCATATTCGCAATGTTAATATATAAAAGGAAGAATAATGAGCTTATTTAATAGATTAAAGGTGAAGAATTACACATTGTTTATCTATCATTGAAAGTTATATGCTAAAACATATTAATTTTTTATTTAATTTTTGTGCCATTATGTCGGACACAACAATGTGATTGATCGTTCTTATTTATATCAAAGTCAGTTATTCATTACTTGTTATCTATCAAGTACTAAAAATATATTTTTATTTTACTAAAAAGATATTTTTCAGAATTTAATAATGCATATTCAAAAGATTAACTTATATATATATATGTGTGTGTGTGTATATATATATATATAAATATATACATGTATATATATGTATATATATGCATATATATGCATATATATTTCTGCAGTATATATTATGATTATATTTTAGTATATAATACATTATATATATATACATATATATGTATATGTAAATTATTCAACACGACATATTTATTATTAATGAAGAGCCATGATAGTTAATGCCATTTATTTGAATACTTACTTCACTCTGTGCATGATTATAAAATTGTATAGTATAAAATCTATACTAATTACTTAATAATCATTGATTTAGAGATGTTTACATTAATTATTTAACATTTGTCTCAATATATGTATTATTTATGTTTATTTATATACTCAGTTTTTATCTACGATTTCCTCGAGTTGTTACGTTGTTCTGTTAGCACTTGTTACTTGAGGCTTCTTTCAATTAGATAACTTTATGTTTGCTGGTTTTGTACAGTGCTTAAGATATATCAAACACACACACACACACACATAAGCATGCACACACAAACACACACACACGCGCGCGCGCGCGCGTGCGCGTACATATATTTAGACTTATGTTAACTCAAGAAAATCGTAACTCATTTTTTTTCCTTTTTTTTTTTTTTAAATTCAATTTAGAGTTATACATTGAGAGAAAGAGAATACAAGAAGATTTTGAATTTATTGAATGTTATGTATTTATCATATATAAGGCTATAGAATCAATTATGGTTGATTGAGATAGTCCCTTTTTGAAAATCAACTTGATTCATATATAATTATATTATAGGCATTCCACAATCCAAAAATCCAGCAATTACATTATCATTAGGAGTATAATCTACATATTGTACATATAGATATTCATTGACATTCTAAATAAATAGCACTTTAACAATGATAACATTTGTTGTTTATTTTCGCTTTATGTCAATTTAATTAAATTTTTATTTTTCAATAAGTATTTACTTTAACAAACATAAGATAAGAATCTTAATATTTATATCATTTATACAAGTATATAATATGTTATTTATCTCGAGTAAATCTTATTATTTTATAACATTCTATTAAATAATATTTGCAATCAGTGTTTAATATCTTTTCTTTTTAGAAAATAAATATATTAATGAAAAATGTATTATAAATGTCGTACAGTAAGTAGCGACGCAAATACAGGAACTTTCGTCTTGGATTGTTAACAAAATATTATTGTTAAAGAATAAATTAAAAATATAATCAATGTCAATTTCAACTTTTTAAATGTAAAATTTAATTGCTTAATCGATAAATGCAGTTTAACTTCGTTCGATCTGTTTGTTTGAAAGCATTGTTCTATTTTTTACGTGATATATACATATAATATACATTTCAAGTAATTAATATTTAAAATTATATATATGATATCGTAATTACAATATGTTTATAAGAGTTATTTGAATGAATCTAATTTTTTTCCTTTTTTTTTGTTTTTTTTTTGTTTTTTTTTTTTTCTTTTAATTGCTACTTACGTTAGTTTCCTGTGCATTTTGCTTGGCGAATTAAAAACGTTCTACGTTTTAATCTTATTTTGTTGTTGAGATCTTCTTGCCTTTATCCTTGCTTGCAGAGTAAGTAAAAGGCCTGCTAGAACATCATGATTTGGTAATTTTTTAGCAAACAATAAACGTTTAACGGAGTCATCATAAGTTAATAGTGCAACCATATTTTGCAATAAAAATCCTTGACAATATTCTAAGAGTTGTGCCGCATTATAAACCTGCAAACAATCGATTGTAATTGTATAGTTTAATGATTGTATTTCTTTTTTATGATATCAACAATGTTTAATAATATGTATACCTTGGCATGAATATACATAGAAACAATATTATCTAAATCGACCATTGCTGAACATTGAGCCTCGCAATATCTTAATAAACCATCAAGTTGAAAGAAATTAGCAGCTGCCATTAATTCTAAAACATCACTCTGATTAACTTCCAAAGTTGCGCATCCCCCGTGATAAAGAAATTCCATGACCATCTGTAACATCAACGGCGACAATATTAATTATTTAACAAGTATGTTTATGCGACAAAAAATAATCGTTTACTTACTTGGAAGATGTGATATCTAATGTCATTGATTTGTACGATAGGAGGATTGCCCTCACATAATTTTGAACTTAACATATTCCTAAATCTTGGAGATGATGTTACCAGAACGATTTTATGCCCATAAAAGACCCTGCCTTCGACTCTAAATTGTACGTCACTTAGTTCAGGATTGTTAACAAATTTTGGATCGATTCTTGAGCCACTTGATAGTGTGGTATCTCTGATTGGTTTGATTGGTTCCCAACCAAAACATGTGCAAAAGATATCAGCAAGTAGAAGCGTTGTTCCTTCCTTCTATAAATATGAGAGTTTCAATAATTAATATTCCTTGGTATTGCTGATAACTTTATTTTTGAAGATACCTTGCTATAACGAAATATGTTGAACAAAAGTGGTAAACATTCTTGTACGAATTGCGTTGAGTAATCATCAGGACAAACTTGTAGAAAATCTTGAAGCAATTGATCTATGACCGAATCTATTCTCATTTCATGAGCAGTGGCAAGACTGTGCATCCAACAATGTAACGTCCATCCTACTTTTAGTCCACGAAGTTCCATAGTAATGTCTAAGATAACGAAGGATAATGTTTATTTATCACTTATCATACTGTCTATGCTCTAGTAAAAAACATTCGTTTATTTTTACCTAAATGATTGCTTTCAGCACTATGATACATTGCTTCCTGAAGTGCCTTCGTTTGTAATTTGTTAAACACTGGTTCTTTACCCTCTCTGTGACCACTTTTACCATCTACGGTTTGTTGCTGAGGATTGGTATTAGCATTACCTTCCGCTAGTATCTCCTCCAAAGATAAGATTTCTTTTTCTCCACGTTTTGCTGAGAAGTTCAATGGATGAGATAGTAACTGATGAAGACAATTTCTTTGACCGTGCGCCGTTGCCACCGATACTGCACTGTGATAAAAGCTATTTGTAGTCATATCTCATAGCCAGTAGATTAAAAATTTCCGTCGTATCAAAAGTAATTTTATGAGAGTTTAGAAAGCTGTTACCTATAGCAACCTCGTTGAGCCGAACCAGTGTAAGAAAACGAGTCTTTTATCAAGGTAGACAAGAACGGTTGTGCACTATGAGCTAAGAGCAAAGCAACCATCTCGTTGTTGCCTGATGCAGTAGCAGCTTGTAACGGGGTAACAGTACACTTATCTTCACTGACTTTTGCACCACCCTCTACAGCTGCTCCTCTCTCCAGCAACATTCTAGCGATATTACAATGACCTAGCAAAGCTGTATAGGTCAGGGCAGTCCAGTGTTGCGTTTCAGCATTGAATCCAGTTTGAACGTAATATGCGTTACTCGAGTTACCGCAAGGAGTACCGCCTGGTGACGGAGTTGAACCATTTTTGCTTGGTGTTGTTATCACCGATTGATTAACAGGACTTCTAACGATAGCTGTACTCGTAGAACTGGATACTTTCGATGGGCTGCCAGACGATTGACTAGTACTTGGAGGTGGACTCTCGATATTTAAATCTGCTCCAGCATCTAACAAAGCTGCTACAGATTGCTCGTCACCATTGATACAGGCCAACATCAATGCGGTAAAACCACTATCGTTGACGGTGTTGATTTTCGTCGATGGTAACAATGGCATCGCCTGTGCTATGAGCTCCTCTCGACCACTGGTTAACATCTTGAAAGCCATGTCCGTGGTCAAGAGACGAACGTACTCGGAGTCGTCGATACGTTTCGAGCAAACTGTGATTTCCTCGGAACTGAAGTTTTTTAATTATCGTCGATGAGGAATATTAAACTCTTTCTTCATATTTCAATATAATAATTCGAAGGAAGTTCGCCTATATGTCTAAATTTTTAATTCACAAATATCCTATGTATATTTGTATCTATGGTAGTTTCAAAAAAAGAAAAAAGAAAAAAAAAAAGAAGAAGAAGAAGAAGAAAAAAAAACTTACCATATCGGTCTAACCGGACAGTCGACGCCAGGTAAAAGCAATCTTGCGGCTTGATTAATGTCATCCTGATCGACGGCAAGAGCATGTCGATGCTCGGCATGAGCTGCTGCTATACGTAACCACTCGATCAAAGGTGGAAGAACGACATAGGCTCTCTCGTAAGCTAACTCTTGTATTCCTGAACCTCTCTCGCCATGTTCAAGCTGAAAAGACGAATGATCATCGTCATAGCAATTTATTATCGTCAGGTTCAAAGGATCTTTATAATAGAAAAATTTACGTACTTGTGAACATCTCATGTAATAGAACAAAGCATTCAAAGCTTTTGCTGTTAAAGGTACTGGACATCTTCCAGACTGAGCTACCTTCGATATAAGCTCGATCAATTCAGACATTGAACCAACACAAGTTGTTAGAAAGGAAGGCTCGAGCGTGGATCCTATCGCTTCTTTACCACTTCTAGAAGAGGATGAAGAATTCAGTGAGCTCACGCTAGCCCAACGTGGCATTGCAAGGGCACCTAAGATAGGAAAAGATCATTACTATTATTATTATTATTATTATTATTATTATTATTATTATTATTATTATTATTATTATTATTATTATTATTATTATATTACATATTATTTCATATATTGTTTATATCATTTGGATTGATCTTGATAGTCTCATAATAACTATTACTATATAATTCTACATTTGTTAGACTCAAACAAATAATATAGTCCTAATCTTCACAGAGAAATAAACAAATACATAAAGTACTTATAATAAATAGTAAAAATTTGAACATCATCTTTTAACAATTTATTATACCAGATGCAATACGGCCAGCATTAAGATGAGCATAAGGTTGAAGTAGACCCCACAAGTCACCACTGTTTGCTATTACGTGTTCTAACATCGTAGCAGTTAGAGTCGTGTGTGGTTCTGTCGGCATACACTGCAACAAAATCTCTTCCAAGAGATTTTCGATGCCTGCCGTTAGGTATACTGCAGCATACTCGTGCACCATTCTTCCAAGCCTAACGTCCGACATCCAACGGAGAAATCGACCAACAGGTAATTGCAGTCCAGACCGAGATGCCTTCGATTGCTTCAACTGATCGCCGGACACAGCAAACATAGCGGCTGCTCGTAGACAAGCCTATGAAGAATGTGAGATTTATGTTACACATGGAAGAGTTATGATCAGTTTATTTTAAACTTCGTGTTATATTTTCACGAAAGATCCATATATAAATATAAAAGATGAATCATCAAAGATTAATCATTTTTACATGAAAATTAAAAAAGAAAAAAAAAAGAAAAAAGAAAAATTAACAAAGTCGCATGATTTTTAACACGATTATTACCTGATATAATCCTGAAAGGAATCTTGCAATCAGAGAATATACCAAGACATGTCAATGATTGAAGTTTAATTTCAATATGTAAATGGAAAATTTTATATATATACCTTTGTACAAGAATCTGCTAAAGCTGGACAAAGAACGATCTTAAATGCACTGTAGACTTCATGTTTGCTACAAAGACCAATAGGCTTAGCCAATCGTTGAGTTTCACGGCTGATCCTGACTAAGGCTCGTTGAAGTAAGTAAGAAAGTCTAGGAATGGTCTCCATTGAAACTTGTTCCATGTGTTCTCTCGTACGACCATTCTGTAATACTCGTAATACATCATGATGAGTCCATGGTAGTTGCTGCAACTCGACCAGTCTATTATGAGAGTCAACCCAAACGAATTCGTCAGCACTGGTGACGTTAGTGTTGATCGTTTCTAAACTACTATGTCTCATCAGTCTTCTAACCGCTGGCTCTGAACTCTCCGAACCACTCAACGACGAATACGTCGAGGAAGACTTGTGGGAACGCATGGTTAGTTGCTGAATCGCTAATTTTATGTCCTCCAGACCAGAACCCGACCATGGTACCTGTAGCTGTAAAGAGGTCGTTGAACGTACGTAATACGAATCTCCCTAAAGGGAGAAGAACATGCGAGGAGAGATATGGACCAATCATTATCGTATCGAAACAAGACGATTCTAACTTATAACAACGTTAGAAAAGAAACTTTTATATCGTTAAGATTAATTTTAAAATATATATTCTAGACGAACAGTATAATATAGTAAATGTTAATGTTTCGTGAATAAAAGGAAAAGAAATAAAATGAGAAAAAAGATGGGAAACCTTAGCAGGAGTAGCTCGATGTCTGTTACGATTCTGTCCTGATCTGCTTCTACCATTTCTTTGGGTAACCGAAGCTGATAGTCGATCATCTTCTGGTACAGAGTTCAGTTGCTGAGGACTATGCGACCTGTGATGACGATGAGGCGGAGAACTGCTGCTTGTATGACCACCGGTATCCGACATGCTTGCGTGCCCGGACGATCGATTCTCGTCGGAGGAGCTATTACCAGCGCATTCTGGTCGCCTCTACAAAAGTCGTTCGTCTTTTACAACCGACCGCCATGATTTGTTAGCCGTGGTTACGTTCAACAACGACTTTGGACTAAACACCGACCGTCCTATTCGCCATTATGAAGAAGAGAAGCAAAATCAAATGACGATGATATTTTCAATGATTTTTACATTTTAAACGATCGTAAAGGTAAAGCTATTATTAGTGTCTTGTCATGTGCATTTCAACAATGATTTATTAGACGTTTATGTTACACACAAGTTAAGCAAATCTAAGTGGGTTCTTTTTTATATTATTTTTATTTTTTTTAATGTTATTTTAGACAATGTACCATAGATATATAAGAAAAATAATATTATTAAATAATATATTAAAAATATAGCGACGATACCTGAAGTACTCGGAGCTCGTGCAAGCTGAGATGGTGATGCTGCGAGGGATGAGGATGTTGAGGGGTCGGAGTAGGCGCAACGCTATCCGTATCCCTCTCCGCGACCATGTGAACCATATTGTGGACGCCACTTTTCGACTGATTTTCTGTAAAGTCCTTTGTATATGGGGGACAGTATACTTCACGTCCACTACCACCACCAGGACTATTAAAGGAACATAATAATAATCTGTGTTATTATTACCTCGACAAGTAGAACGAATAAATAATTTTAATTTATAAGAATTTCTTTTTATATTACGTTGGGTATATGTCGTATAAAAGGGTGTTTCAAAGAATTAGGTAAAAATATATCAAGTTCTTTTTTTTCTCTTTCTTTTTTTTATCATACACGCGCATATTTTAAAGTTTTCTGTAGTATTTAATTTTAAACACCCTATATATTAAGGAAAGTTCAGAATCCGACGGAAGAACGAGGAATATGCGGGCCCGTGGAATAACGGCGATAAATAATTGATATTTGATACCCCATGAAGGAGGACAGCTCGTTAATTACCGTCTGGACCAGTCGACGATTCGTTTTCGAATTGCCTCGCATTAAATTTCTATCTTAACAAGAGGGGGAAGAAGAGGAACAAGAAAAAGAAGAAGAAGAAGAAGAACGGGAGAAAGAGAGAGTTAGTGCTTAGAACTAACATAGTTAGGAATACAGGAATGTCTTTTCTTCTTCGTTCGTCTTCTATAAATAAAATTATGTATATATATATATATATTTTTTTTCTTCTTTTTTTAAGAATTACCATCAAAAATAGCTTACAACAGATTTGATTCATTCGTGAAAGATGCTAGGAGATAAGATGCTGGACCACGAAAGTATGCATCTGATCGTTGGAAACATAAAAGATCGTTTTAGAGATAACATCTTTTACATGATTTCTATTCTTCTTCTTTCTTTTTTCCTTCTTCTTTTTATTTTCATAAATATACATATTTATTCCCGAGCAAGTTTCTAATCAGGTTCTAATCTATTTCACGATCGCGTAGGAGTGGAATAGCTAGTTCAGATAAAAAAATTACTTTCTCCATGATGAGAAAAAGTAGCGTGTGAGTATGCTCGAATAAGACGAGTTTGAAGAATGAACGAGTTTGGTAAGGTAAATGAACTGAGACGACATCGTGGAAATACTACAAAATTGAATAATTTCATGTAAGATTCAAGAAAATTCTTTCGTGGTTAATATTTTCATTAATGAAATTCAATTAAAACGGTAAATCTTATGGAAGAGAAATAATAGAAGTTCAAAGATGCATCATTAAGGGCGATGTACATCTTGTGGAATAATTCTTAGAAGTTTAAATAAAGACTCGATTATGTTAGAACTCGAGGCAATAAACGAGTAGAGAGAACGAATGCGATATCATTTTCTAAGAATCTTGAAATATCTCGTAATTGATTCGAGAGAGACGTTGAATAGTCGAATAGTTCGGATGCTGTCGATCTTACAGTTACCCGTCCTTTACAACAGGACACATTACTGTTAATTATAGATACTTGAGATTAATTATTTCTAAATGGAACGTCGATACGCTTGCGATATTACTTATGTCGCAATGATCTTCGTTCAATTCTACTGAGTAGAATTAAGGAACTGTTTATGCATCGTTAACTATCGTCAAAGTCGAACTAGAAATGAGAGTTAGAAATTTTTCGACAAAATATTTCAGAATGATTCATTGATTATTGATTAAAAGAGAAAAACAAAGAATGTCCGAAAGTAAACAAGAGGATTTCATGAGCGTAAGAATATCAAGAACAAGATTACTTCGAAGAAACGATTTGTCTTGAACTCGATCGTGATTTACCCCCTAAGGCGCCATTGCTGAACGAAACTCCAGTCAGCCTTGAACCCAGTGGTGTCCCCGGGCAAGGACCAATAATCCTCGATCTGGCTTTCGTCCTCCTCGATCCTCAATACGTCTTCTCTACTAGGAGTGAAGTTTACAACGATCTCATGACTTTTCTTAACGTTATCTAACGTTGAGTTTTCATCTCTTTCGATATTTCTCAAAGGAATCTCATCCTGATGAGATTCTGTAGAATCCTTTTTCTCTTTTTCCCTTTGACTGGTGTCACCAAAATAAATCACTGTTTTATGAGGAACATCAATAGTCCTCATTGATTTCGAGCCAACTCCAATGACGATTTCAGTTTTGTCGAATCTCCTTCGAGTAGGATCCTCCAAGGTCGATGTTTTTTCATATTCACTAGTTTCTTGCCATTCTCGTGTTGGTTCACGGCTAATGAACGTCACTGGACGACGTAGAATAAAGTTGGCACCGTCTACCATAGGCTGTTGAACTTCCACCGTAGTGCTCATCTCGTAGTCCTTCAGTTCACGACAGAGTAGACATGTACAGTCCTTGTTGGAACAGGATCCTCGTCTTGAATATGAGGAGGATGATGAGGAAGACAAGGATGATGATGGTCGCATGTCATTTGTTCTTCATCTTCCTTTTTCTCGTATACTTTCTTTTCAAATTGTCAAGGCGATTAAAACTTATTTCCTCCTTCTCCTTCTCTTCTGTTTTTTTCTTTTTTCTTTTTTCTTTTTTTTTTTATTAACTACGAACTTTCCTAAATATCCATGTTTTTCTCATGAACGATCACAACGACGAAAACTCATTCCTTCTTTACTTTGATTTATCCTTTGTTATCATTATCATGTGTTGGGGATCGATGAATGAAATCACTTATCTCACGTTACTATCTGAACCTTTTGCACGTCACCCACTGGAAGGTCTTAAAACAAAACGAAAGAGCGCTAACGAGCTCCTATTTTTTTTTGTTTTGTTTTTTCTTTCTTTCCTATTTTCTACAAAACCTCAGTGAGATCCGTGCTCGTTAGAACCACGAACGAAAAGGGGGAAAGCATCTTCTCTCGATAGGATCGTTCGAAGAGCAAGCTCGCGTTATCCGAGTCATCGGTTCGGTTTCGATGTAAACAGATGACTGAGCAGACTCGACGTGCAGGCTTCCTGTGCATCAGCAGGTGAAACGCGTGCACTTCCTTCGGAGAGACCACAGCTTGTCCCTCTCTTTCTCTTTCTTTCTTTCTTTCTTTATTTATTTCTTTCACGTCACTGATACTTCTCTTTCTTCCTTTCTTCCTTCATGCATGCCACGAGTTGGAACCCGTATGTTAAAGGAAACGTTTTACGTTAATCGTGGGAATATTTTTCTTTTTTCTTCGACAAGAAAAAGTAATATTTTCTTCAATGATTATTCACTTGAAGAATTAAAAGCCAACTCGATAAATCTGTTCATTATCGATAAAGTCTGAATATTACTTATAAATGCCTTGTCATCGACTCGATTTCCATGGGGCAAGGTGATCGCGTGTCTCCTCTGTGGTCTATTCTATATTTCTATCTATTTCTCTTTCTCTCTCTTTCCCTCTCCCTCTCCCTCTCTTTCTCTTTCTCTCTATCTTGTTGGCGTTTTCTCTTTCTCCAGTTTCACGTTGCCTTCGTTCGATTTTATTTCCTCTTTCCCTCGATCCTCCGAGAAGACTTCTCCAAAAGAATGAAAAGGAAAAGGAAAAGAAGAAAAAGAAATGGGAGGAAAAAATATAAAAAGGAAAAAGAAGAAAAAAACAGATATAAAAAAGAAAAAAAAATGACTCCGTAGAGAACGGAAAAAGAGTCACGTGAAACGTGACTTCGATCCTCCTTTCAGAGTTCGTGCCTTGTTTCACGATAATCTCTATCTTCTTGATACTTGTATATCCCTTTTTAGTTAGAGCTAGAGTATACACACACTCCGTGAAGAACGTAAGTATACGTATGACTACTCTCTCTCTACGAAAATCCGAGCACGAGTTGAGGTCGCTACTAGCAAACTGTTATATCAACTAGTAGCTGCTAGCTGCTTTTAGTGATAGAGAGAGCGAGAGAGAGAGAGAGAGAGAGAGAGACAGATAGATAGATAGATAGATAGATAAAGAGAGAGAGAGAGAGAGAGAGAGATAGAGAAAGAGAATGGTACCCAACCATGCGATTTGGGGGAGAACTTCCGGTGACCATCCTACTTCCTTACGTCTGCTTTACTTACGAATCACAACGCCCTCTTGATCGCCATCCGTGACGATCTTATGTCCAACCTTCTTTTCTTTTCTTCATTTTTTTTTCTCTTTCCATTGTCGTCATTACGTTTTCTTTCTTAACCGAGCAAGACACCCTCGTGTCTACTTTCCTTCCTGTGGGTTTTGATATTGTATGCGTATGTACGTACATATAACTTTAGAGAAACTCAATTGAAAAATATCAATCGTAGGAACTTTTAATCCATGCAAATCAAGATCATTAAATCCAAATTCATATAATTCATTTAGAATGATCAAATATGAGATTCATTACAGAGTGAATTAGAGATCAATATGGCAAACATGTAAAGATCTTGCACAGGGGAACCCTCCGAAAAGGACAATGACCTTTGATAAGAAGAGAAAGAGAGAGAGGGAGAGAGAGATCTTTAAAACTGCCGTACCTTACCTTATTCTTCTTTACCGTAATAAAAATTCTTCTAACCGTAATAAAAATGTTTAAGGGTTTCTTGGAAGAAAGTAATCGAAAAAGTACAAATGTGACGCAACATTGTACTAGCCGATGTTAACGCGGGAAAATTTGAAAGTAACTTGTTAAAAGATTAATTTAATACTTTTCCTCATGATTTGGCCTATTTTCTATGTTAAACCGGTATTAACGATCTGGTCCAAGAAACTATGTATTTCCTCTGACGTTTCAAAGCTGCCGTCGTTAGTCGTAAAACCAGTCATGTTATACGTATACCTTATCTTCGTTTTAATATGTTCCTCACAAGTGCCGGTTGGCCGACATTTTTCCAAGAGAATATTGATACTTGACGCAATCTCTATCTACTCTTTTCTCTCTTTCTCTCTCTTGATCCGCTTTATAACAGTGTTTCAAATACCTCGAGATCTCAGCTCGTTTCTTTGGTATAGCGGTGCTTAATTGAAAGTTCCAAGAGGATAGGATGAAAATTGCACTTATCGGGGTGCAGCTACTCCAATTTTTACAATAACATGTTCCACATACTTTTTTTTTATCGGCGAAAAACCAAGAGAAACTATAATTTAAATGAAGATTGATAAAAGAAGTATTTATTTCAATCGATCATTCATAAATGAAAAGAAAATTATCGAAGGAACCTTTTAATCTCTAACGTCTATGTCCTACTACATGTGCCTCGCCTTTTACGAGAAAGGCTTTTGGAGGAAGACTTCAAGGCAGACATTGTCCGTGTTCACTTAGGCGAAACTCCGGTGTCAAGGGCGACAACGCTTACAGCGAAGACATTAAATTGATTAACGAACCGTGTCTTTACGGTAATGAAGCGACAATATAATCGAAAGTTTTTTCTTTCTTTCTATCTTTCTTTCTTTCCTTCTTTCTTTCTTTATCTACCAGATCATTCACAGTTTTCATTGTTGAAATATATTAACATTTTAATACGATTACAAATCACTCGTTTATGCGAAAACAAACAATACTGCTTTTTAGTCTTTTCTTTTTTTCTTTTTTTTTTTTTTTTACTAAATAGATTACGATTAAGATTAAGGTGAAAATGCAAGTAAAAAAATAGCGAAAATTAACAAGATGATACGTCCCTGACCTAGCAAGATGCAAAAGTGAGATATACATTGCGACGACAGGTAGGGGGAAAGAACGATGAAAGGAAGAAAGGGGAGCATTGCTATGAATTGTCTTTTCACTATGTCGAGCCATCGTTCTTTTTCATTCCCAAGCTAATTAACTATGTATTTTTAATTGTTCATCGTCAGCTTTTACTTCTCACATATACACAATTTCTCAAAACAAACGAATATTTTATCATAGAAATCCTGAATTGTGATCGTACTATAAAAAATCGAACAAAAAAAAAACATTCAATAAAATCTATGAAAAATAATAATTATTTTGGAGATTGATTAAAAAAAAAAAAGAAAAAAAAAAAAGAAAAAGAAAAGAAAAAAAATTCATACAAGTGGTAGTAGAATTAACCGAAAGAGATGAATGAAGATTCTTTCTTTTTTCCTTTTTTTTAATTTTCCTATCGAAAGAAAATAGATTTAGATTGAATAAGGAGAGAGGTTGAAGACGTCACGTCCCTGACCTACCAGTGATTTAACGCGTGCAAATCGGTGCTAGTAAAAGCCAGTTTAAGATCAACGTAGTGGTATAAAGAAAAGGAGGAAAGAAAGGATGATTCCTAAGACCATTAACCTAAATATTTTAGCTTGTGCTTAGCTAGGCATCATCATCATCATCATCATCATCATCATCATCATCATCATCATCATCATCATCATCATCATCATCATTTTCTTCTTCTTTTTCTTATCCTTCTTCCTCTTCTCTCACACGCGTCATTATCTCGATCGTTTCGTTCTCAGATGATAACCTTCCCACTTTTTCTTCGAACATTTCCCACTTTCGGATAACCAATTAAACTCAAACTCTCTTTTCGCACGATCGCTAATTCCCTCCTAACAATCCTCATAGACCAATTTCTATTTCATCCTAATTCGCCGTCAGTTAAGTTACTTCTTTAACAAACGACTTATTCTCTTACACTACCTCACGTATCTCTCTTTTTTCTTTTTCACACGATTCTCGAGGAGAAAACGAATTCCAAGCGATCGGAAGAAGTCGAAGGGAAGTTACTTCGTGAGAAAATTTCATTGTGATCGCTTTCAAATCGATCTTTTTTTTTCTTTTTTTTTTCCCCTTAAGGAAAATCAAAAGTTACGAATGGAGTTCCTTTTACAATCAAGCAAGAAACCTGAAAACTCGAATGTTAAGGCATATTTCTTCGTTACTCTATAATGATCCTTTAAATCTACTGCAAAAGATCAATTACAAAAAATATAATGCCGAGGCATTGTATCTTTATTTATTTATTTATTTTTTTCTAGTTGGTATAAATTTTAACAAGTTCCCTTTGTCGCAAATTATTCACCTTTGTGTTTGAAATAGCAAACGTGTTTTTAAGGAGACAAATAAACACATAAATCTTTCATAGGAAGATAATTATGCGAATTTCAAATGCGATCACATGGACTTGCCTGGCAACGAGTCAACGAGCCCAAAAACTCAGGCCCTCCTGAACGAACCAGTCATAAGGATAAGCATTAAGGAATGCGCAGACGTAATCTTCGACGAGAAAACGTCTGATAATCGTGAAAGGTGGTCTCGCTCGACGACTAAGAGCTGACGTCTTTCTTATAAGCCGCTTAAAAGGCCATGAGGAGCCTTTTGACTCGTCTCTCTTTGCGTTTAACATGCGAAAACTTGAATGTTGAAATGTTTCTTCGAATAATCTCGACTACCTAAATTTTACAAGTATAAATATAAATATGTAGCAATAAATTTTTCGTTTCTTATCATTTAGAAACATTCTCATCATATTTTATATATATTAATAGTATCGAATGAAAATATTAATGTAAATATTATATTAATATAAAGAAACTCACCGTCTTGGTTTTGGTCTAAGTATCTCGTGACCAGAATCGGATATACAAATACTCAAACTCAAAGGTCCACCATAATGTTCAGGAGGTGTTGCATTGGCCTGAACGTTTTGTTGTTGAGGAGCGGAGATCCCAGTTGAAGCAGAAGTACCGCTCAAAAACAAAGGTTGCTGAGAGCAACCATCTATCGTTGGATGTTCCAAATTCATCCTGCATCCGGGTCCTTACTCGTGTCGAAGGACCTGTACATTTTTATCAATTTTTATTTATCTTCTTCACACTGAATATTTCTTCTTTCTTTTTTTCAAATAAAACACAAAACACACGCCTATGTCATTTACATGATTTATAGATCATTTTATCTTTCTTTTTTATTTCTTTTTCATAGAAATAATAGGACATGCATAATCGTCTAATTAATTGGTATTGTCAAAGAAAGGAAAAGTCGCTTCTCATTAAATCTTTACCTATCGCCAAGTTAGCTTCCGAGACGAATGAAAATCGTTCGAAAGAAAGTAATTACTGTAATACTTTCTCGAAGGTCATTAACGATCGCTTGGATAATTACCGGTGTAATTAGCACCACTATACTATCTTTGCCACGAGAGGAATAATTGCTTCACTGATACCTCGTTCTAGTGGAAGTTAGACGTTATCCCTATTTATTTAATTATTTTATTTTTCTCGAAAAATATACGAATGATATCATTCGTATTAGAAAATGGAACTCTTTCGAGAGAGAAAAAAAAATATTGTAATTAATAATTCTTATTAAGTTAAGAATTTTGTGATTTACTAGCCTTGTAATTATTTTAATTAACTCTTGGATATAGCCTATAATTTGGAAGGAATTCGTTGAGTCTTCATCGTATATATATATATATATATATATATATATATATATATATATATATATATATATATATATGTATGTATATAAAAAGTATGTAACAAAAAATAAAATCTTACGGTACTTATGAATTCAAAATAAGAAAAAAAATAAGTAAATAAATAAAAATAAAAAGAAGCAAAAAAAATAAAAAATGAGTTTCTTTATATATACATATATACGATATATATATTAGAACGGCCTCATTTGTTCTATCTTTTCTTTATCATTTCAAGTATAGGTAAGGTAAAACGATAAATTGCTTTAACGTAGAAGGGGTAAAGATAAGCTCTCAAGAGAAATAACGTTTCTTCTCGTAGAAGAAGCAATCCCATAATTCACGAGTCGACAGGAGGAGAGTCGTTCGTTCGTTCG